AGTAAGACACACACACACACACACACACACACACACACACTCCAGATAGTCAGTGTTTTAGGAATCGTCATGTCTTCAGCTAATACACACTCATCAGCACTTGTGTTTTTGCCCCATCAATTCATTCACGTACGCAAATTCGTCTTCAGATGGCGCCTTTAGCAATGTGCGTGCAGTCGAGCGCTCTGGTTACACTGGGAAAACCGGCGATCTCTGCACATTGTGCTTTAATGTTTGGCTGGTCAACTGTATGGTATGCAAACCTTATATACCTGCTAGACATGCGCATGATCTCGTCCCATACAGCTGCCATTGCACAGCTCAAAGGCGACTGGCTTAACCCAGCGTGATCTGCCTGTTCCCCTTTGGAAAGAACCAGTTGCCAGGATACTTTGTTGGTGCGGTAATTTGTAGTGTGCAACAACAACAATAATAACAATAACAATAATAATAATGATAACAATAATAACAATAATAATAACAACAACAATAATAATGATAAATATAATAATAATAAATATTAATAATAATAATAACAACAACAACAATAATAATAATAGTAATAATAATAATAATAACAAAATATTAATAATAAAATAATAATAATAATAACAAAAACAATAACAATAATAATAAAATATAAATAATCAAAATAATAATAATAACAATAAAAATAACAACAACAACATTAATAATAATAATAATAATAACATTAATACTAATAAAAATAACAATAATAATGATTATTATATTAATAACAATAATGATATTAATAATAATAATAATAATATTAATAATAATAAAATAATAATAATAATAATAATAATAAATAATAATAATATAATAACAACAACAACAACAACAATAATAATAATAATAAAACCATTGCCTAAATAATAGTATATATAATAATTCTGAATCTAAATGTAAATAAATAGAAATGTTTTTACATCATTATTTGATCATAATAATAGGCTTGATCACAAGCCTGGCTGTGATTGACCAATCAGAATCAAGTGTTCAGAGCGCCGTGTGGTATACACTGATAACAGCAGGCTGCGGTGCCAAATATACTAAATAAGCAGGAAATAAAGCACAAGCAGACTCAGTGATGAAGAGATGGTGTGCAGCTGTAGTGAGAACAGTAAAATGTTAACGCAGCACTGAACTGCAGATCCACCGAGACCGGAGTAATCTCCACTGTAAGACCACTGGAGGATCAGAAACACTGACGCTGTTTCTGCAGAGAGTCTCAGTATAAATGAAGACCAGATACACTGACAATATTCATACGCTGAGATCAGACCAGCGCAGGGTTTCTCCAGCTCTCTCAGAAACACGCCGAGTGCAGGATCTGCTGCTTAAACTCTTACAGGAGTGATGAAACTGCAGCACAATGAGCCGCGTCACATCTCGGAGAATAACCCTGCCAGAAACGCTTCTGTTTCCCACTTTCATAAACGTGTGTTTAACTAATGAGGCACATAAAAGCGTGTCTGGACGGACGGGGAGGTGTGTGTGTGTTGTTTCAAGCTCAGCGGAGTGTGTGTGAGGGGTAATGAAGCGAGCACGTGCCATTAGAGCAGCGTTTGAACCCGCCAGACCGCCATCAGTCGCACAACACTTTTATTTCAGTTTTAATGCCGTCAAACAGCATCAGGAGCTGAGCAGATGAGGATGAGGCATCACTGTGTTCTGATGATCTCTCTAACACATATTGAAGATTATACGCTACACTGCAACTATAACTCTAATTACACTACCATACAGTCTGGGTGAGGGTTAGTGTAAGCTGACATTTCACTAGCAGAATAGTCATTTAAAGTTTTGTTTCTATGTGTGTGTGTGTGTGTATCATATATACATACTAAATAAAACACACACACACACACACATATTATGTCAAAAGAGACTTTTATTTTGGATGCAATTAATTTTTATCCAGCACTGTGCATGCATGTACACTCACCGGCCACTTTATTAGGTACACCTGTCCAACTTTTCTTCCAATCAGCCAATCACATGGCAGCAGCTCAGTGCATTTCGGCATGTAGACATGGTCAAGAGGATCTGCTGCAGGTCAAAGTGAGCATCAGAATGGGGAAGAAAGGGGATTTAAGAGACTCTGAACGTGGCATGGTTGTTGCTGCCAGACGGGCTGCTCTGAGTATTTCAGAAACTGCTGATCTCTAGGCTTTACAGAGAATGCTCCGACAAAGAGGAAATCTCCAGTGAGCGGCAGTTCTGAGGGCGCAAATGCCTTGTTGATGAGGCCAGAGGTCAGAGGAGAATGGCCAGACTGGTTCCAGCTGATAGAAAGGCAACAGTAACTCAAATAAGCACTCGTTACAACCGAGCTCTGCAGAAGAGCATCTCTGAACACACAACACGTCCAACCTTGAGGCGGATGGGCTACAGCAGCAGAAGAGCACACCGGGTGCCGCTCCTGTCAGCTAAGAACAGGAAACTGAGGCTACAATAGACCTTTTTCACAGCAGAATTGAACACCGGAAGCGCCCTTTGAAGCAGTGTATCGATATTTCCGGGTTCGCTAGGAGTCGCAGAGACATGACAGCCTCGGGACAGCGGATGACTTTCTCACGGTCAACTTTGCCATAATTTGGACAGGAAGATGTTGTTCGGTGAATGTGTAAAACTCCCTTAATAAAACAGCATTTAAAAGATGATACCGATTTGCAGAATTTGTGCAGAAAACGTGTCTTACCGTTTGCAATATCAGGTTCCAGTAAGGTGCACAGCCAACAACATAAGATCTGCTCAT